ATGTTAGCTTACGCATAGATGTGTCCACTAGATGGAATTCTACTTACACCATGCTTGAAAGTGCAATTACGTACAAGTGTGATTTTAGTAGTCTTCAGTTGATTGATAGAAACTACAAGTTTGCTCCAACTAATGAAGAGTGGATGAAAGGAGGAAAAATGTGTCAGTTCTTACGCCCATTTTATGTGATCACCAACTTGATTTCTGGGACATCTTATCCAACTTCAAACTTGTATTTCATGCAAGTATGGAAAATAGAGTGTTTTTTTAGAGCAAATGTGGAGAGTGAATATGTGGAAATTCGAAAAGATTCTTTTGAAATGAAAGAAAAATTTGATAAGTATTGGAAAGATTACAGCATGGTGCTCTCTTTTGGGGCTGTACTAGATCCTCGAGCAATGTTGGGGATGATAAATTATTTTTTCTCTCAACTTGATCAATATACTTGCGAAGAAAAAGTTGTTGCTATCAGAAGAAACTTGCATATACTTTTTGGTGAGTATGTGAAGTTGATGTCCTCGATCAAACCAACTGGATGTAGCTCTCAACACTCTTCAACTGACGTTGTTATCAGAACAACAACTAACAAAGGAAAGGAGCCTTTTGTTGATATTAACTTGTATGATGTGAGTATTTATTTTCTTTCAATATCTTTTCATTGTTTCAATTATTCATTTCAATTGTAACCTTGATTGTTTGACAATAATCAAATTATATGCGTCTCACATTTTGCTTAGGTCATGCAAGATTGACAGAGCAAAATACCAAATAGCGAAAATGAAAAATCTGAATTGGATCAATATTTGGACGAGGCTCCACTTGAATTCAAATATCACCCAAATTTGGATGTTTTGGAGTTTTGGAAAAATAAGACAGATCAATGGCCAACTTTAGCACTTATGTCTTGTGATATATTAAGTGTTCCTATCACTACTGTGGCGTCTGAATCTGCCTTTAGCATAAGAGGTCGTGTTCTCACCAAATATAAGAGTCGTCTTTTTGGTAATCATGTGCAAGCTATACTTTGTACTCGTAATTGGTTGCAGGGCTTTCAGGAAGGTAATACTTTTTCAATTTTAATGTTCTATTGGACTAAGAACTTATGTATTTAATGTCCTAATAATTTTTTCTTCAATTTGCTATTGTGGAATAAATATTACATGCCCAAATTGGGCGCCAATGAGTTCCAGGGTTTGATGAGATCAGATTGATCACGATTCCTGCATCATTCAAGATTCTCAATTAACAATTCAGAAACCATAGAAAGAAACTTGTGTTGAATAGTGTGTAGCATTCATATTTTGCTTAATCTTTTTTATTATCTTTACCTATCACTTTCTGTTCTTTTTTATTTATATTTCTTTACACATTTTTTTTTCTGTGCCACATTGGTTACTATTGGTAAGTTTCAATGTGATTGGTGGCCTAACTTCATGCATTCTAGTTACTTTTTTATTTATTTTCTTTTCATGCATTTCTTTTTTTTTTCTTGTGTAATATGGGTGTACTATAGTTACATTTCAATGTGATTGCTGGCCTGACTTCATGCATTTTGGTTATACTTGCACTAGAGGCTTACATGGAATTTCATGTATTTCTGTTAAAATTTTCTAATGTATGTATAAGGCAGCGATTTTGGCATAGTTTTGGATTCAACGGTTTGTTGATTAGAGACTTATTACGAATAAATCATGCTTGCACGCTTTAGAATGATCTTTTTTTTTTTATCAATAATGTTATTGTTTTTTTTNNNNTTTTTTTTTTTCTAATTTCAGGTAAGGATGAATGGGAAGATGATGCTTTCGCCAAAGTGGAACCAAATATAATTGATGATGATGCTTAAGCTCCAGTTTAATCTTTTTAATTAGGAACTTTTAGGCTAATCGTGTAAAGCAACTATGTATGACATTATTATCGCACTCATGTACTTTGGCGGCTTTTTGGATTTTTACGTGCGTTTTAGGGAATATATTATCATGCGTATGAGTTGCAAAATTTGTCTTTTATTTTATTTTAAAGATTACATGCGTCTTTTTATAATTTAATGATTTTCTTTGTGTTTAGCCCGTATAGCCCGTTTAACCCGAAGCCCGCTAGGGTTAGGGTTAGGTCTTTTTTTAGTAGCCCATTTAAATCAAGGCTTTTTAAGCCCAAACCGTTTAGCCCAAATCCCGCTAGGGATAGCCCGAAACCGCTAAGGCTAGCCCGTTTAACATCTCTAGTGGCAGGACGAGGATACTCTTTATTGCTCGAGCAGGTTGATTGCTTTTCACTTGGTGGTGTATTATCGAATTTATTTTTTAACCTCGGTGGCAGGTTGAGTGTATTTATTATTGCTCGAGCAAGTTGACGGTTTCATTTGACTTCGTTTTGTCAAATGCATTTTTTGACATGAGAGGAGTCAGGTCTATCAGTCTTCGAGAGGATACACAATAGACTTGAAGTTCAAATTTTGAACTAGGGGGCGATAGGATGAGGTAACCGAAAAGGTTTATTATTAATAGTCAAAGCAGAGTGTGTAAGTTCAAATTTTCAAATTCAAGACTACAGGAATTGGTCATATGTTATTCGACCTCTATTTTAATTTTCGACCTTAGAGGCAGGTCTTTCGAGTTTCGATCTCAGATGAGAAGGTTTTTTAATTTTCGACATCAGAGGCATGTCTTTTGAGTTTGATTTCAGATAAAGGTATTTTAGTTTTTGACTTCAGAGTCAGGTTTTTCGATTTTCGACCTCGGGGGTAGGTCTTTTGTTTTTCGACCTCAGACGTAGGTCTTTTGTCTTTCGATCTCAGTTTTGGATTAGGATTTTAGACCTCAATTTTGGTTCTCGACCTGGAGGTAGCGTCGAGTTATTCAGTACCCAATCTCAAACACAGGTATTTTGGACCTTAGAGCTAGGTCTTCTAGTATTTGACCTCGGATGTGGGCCCTTGGATGCTCGATCCCAAATGCAGGTCTTTCAGTTTTCAATCTCAAACACTGGTCTTTCAGTTTTCAGTACTCAATCTCAGAGACAAATCTTTTGGCATTCGACCCCAGTTTTCGGTTCTCGTTCTCAGATGCAGATCTTTTGGGTTTCGACTCTAGAGGTGGGTCACTTGGAGTTCAATCTCAATGATCATTTGGCTTTCGATCCTCGACCCTAGCAGAGACAGGTCACTCGATTTTTTATCTTATTGGTCATCCGGCTTTCGATGCTTGACCTTAGTGGCGGGTCACTTAACTTTCGACCCCTACAACCATTCAGTTTTCAGTGTTTGACTCTAGTGGCGAGTTTCTCTATTTTTCACTCTTGGATCGAGTTATGATCACTCGACCAGAGTGGGGGGGACTAGATGATATAGCCACGGCTAGTACTGCCGGCTCGACCGGTAGTATCTGATATAGCATGTCATACCCGACCAGTTTTTATGGATATATATTAAAGAATACGGCTATACATGGGCTAAGACACTTGATATGATAATATGGGCCAAGCCCAACCTAGGCCAAGCCCAACTTGAACTATAAGGTACACTCCTCCTATAAAAGGGGGATAAAGTACTCATTTTAGGGATTCTCTAGTCATTCTCTCTCTCTCTCTCTCTCTCTCTCTCTCTGTTTCTCTCTTTCTCTCTCTCTCTCTCTATGTATATCTCCCTTATAACTTATATGGGAGAGTTAGACCTCTTCAAATAGCGACACGTGTCTCATTTTGCCTATCTCGCTGCTCGACACGTGTCTTTATTTAACCCGAGAATGCCCTTAATGTGGACTGGTAATTACGGAGATGCCACTTTACTGTAGTAGTGAATTTACACGACAGATTTGACAGCAACTTCGCTTTCTTCCTGTACCCTTTTTTTAGGCTGAATTATGTCGCATTTTCTTTCTCCTATCCTTAATTCCCGCACACGCAAGGTTGGGGATTTGACAGGAGCAGATGAAGGTGAAGTTTTATAGCTAATCTCTTTCCCTCTTGGCTGCCAAACTTCTTATTTTCCAAATTCTCATCAGAGCACCGTACATGAGAAGCGATTCATGGAAAAATAGATCCACCGTTTTTATGTCGACTCGAAATTTGGGAGTCCTCATCGTCGTCGAGAACTTCAGGTTTCTACTTGCATCTGTCGTCGTTTTTCATGATGAACTAGAGCGCCATCGGCGAGGGCATCGCTCCGGCCAACAGGTGGAACAAAAAAAAACGGGCCCTGCTCCGCGAAGAAGGTCGAGACCACCGTCATCGGGCCCGCGCTGAACCTGAGACTCCCCAGCCTGACTGCGAAGAACGACTCCGCGGGGCCACGCAGCGGCACCAGAATCATCGGCTCCGCATCTTAGGTAAAAAACAAGAAAAAAGGAACGATCTTTATGTACGAAATTGCTGTTAGTTAGAAAGTTGGGGTTTCTTAGGTAAGCTTTCTGCTTTTAATTTTAATACATTTACAATTGAGGTTAAATTATTAGGGTTCCTGCAGCTAACGACCTTACTCGAATATGTGCGTATTGCTGGGATCCCTCAATTACTACAGGCCGCACACCAGGAAGGATAAAGATGACAAGAACTTGGTGTACAAAAGAGATATGACCAAGGGCCTGCTCATCCAGCAGAAGATAGAGGCTGATGTGACTGGAATCACATTTGCCGTGAGTTTTTTTATTTTGGCAAAGCAATTCTTGAATCTTTTAGTTTCATACTTTTCTTAGTGTTCTTAGTGTTTCATATTTGTACTACTTAAAAACTAAATACATGATTTTTTTTGTCAAACCCGCACAGACACAAGTGCCCTCCGACGAAAGAGAGCAACGAGCAGGTTCAGCAATTAGCGCAGCGGTGCCACGCACGGATGGATATTTCAACATGGACATAGTGCAAATGGTTTCAAGAATAATGGTGGCCTTCAAGAAAACACCTCTACTGCGTCGACATTGACAACAACAGCATTTGTGTGACAGCAGCCCCAAAATCATGAGCTCGCATCAACCGCAAACAGCTCCACCACCATCAAATCGATAGCGATGTACAGCCGCAGAGATTCACCGACCACCAGGTACGCAAGACTCATACTTGGATCTCGCATTGGGTTCATTGATTTTGTGGGCATTTTCATATAATAACTCACCATCTACCTCGACCACTTTTTCGAGTTGTGGATCTGTGATTATGGCTAACTCGACGTCTTGGAATAGCGTACCACCGGCCTCAGCCGCCGGCAATCGCCCTCCTAACCTAATTCACTCTGGTTCAAAGATGGATGAGACAAGAGAATACAAGATCCAAAAATTCTCATCCGAGAAGTTGGCCATGGACATCTCCGAACCCACTAAGAGGAAATTCGTCCGGGAAATTCGTCCATGGACATCTGTGCAGTTCATATGAGGCCAATCATTGATAGTCTTCATGTTTGAATTTGTGATTCTATTCCATATTTAGCATGTGATTCATATAAAAAAGAAGAGAGACATCATTCGTCTTACGTCAAATCTGGAAAATACACGACGACCAATTTCAAAACGAATATCAATAATGACTGCACAAAAATCTGGAATTTGTTATGCAATTATTACATTTCTAACTAATATTTTTGTCGAGATGCCATTTACTCACTCGTCTCTATTTTTGTCACTATTAAACATTGTGGTGTAGGAGAACTGACGAGCTTGTTGATGGACCGAATGCATCTTACAACAGCCCTCTGACAGGTGGGAGGCTCGACTTGAGGATATCTTCAAAGGGTGCCCTTTTGATATGCTCGATGCTGCTTTATCCGACACTGTTACCAAGTTCCCTGTTGACATTCAGGTCAACCCTTGACAAACTTTGACTATTTTCTCAAATCACTAACATAGTGTACCTACTAAATTCGAGTTCTGGCTTAGAAAAACTCGATCAAGAATCTTTTTGTTGCAAAGGTTGCTATTTGCCTTAAAAATCAATGATATTTTACGAAGGCATTTAGTTGAATTCTACTTTTAAGTTATCCAATTCCTTCTTCATTCTTCTTCTTTACTGGAAATAACTCGTTTTGACGAACGGAGTTTTTTTTTCTTCATTGTGCAGCCATTTAAGGATATGATTGAAGGCATGAGGATGGACCTTCGGAAATCGAGATACAATAACTTTGACGAGCGGTATCTGTACTGTTATTATGTGGTCAAGACTGTGGGGCTAATGAGTGTGCCGATTATGGGCATAGCACCCGAGTCTCAAGCTACGACCGAGAGTGTGTATAGTGCTGCTTTGGCTTTGGGGCTCGCGAATCAGTTGACCAATATTCTCAGCGGACAATAGGTGCACATATGGTTGCTTTATGTTTCAGCTATTCACATGCATTTCCTTTTTTTCTTTTTCTTTTTTTGTTCTCTTAAATCTTCGGTTTTGCCAAAAAACCTAATCTTATTTTGAATTTGAATATAATTGTTGGGGAGGTTTTTCTTTGATTATTTCAGAAATCGTAGTGGAGTGCGAGGAGGAGCTCATGGCGGCGGCGTAGCTGAACAGCACGTTGTAGAGACTGAAAGAGAAGAAGCAAGGCGTCGTGCTCGCTGGAGATTGCCGAAGTCGACAGCAATAGGGTTGCAGGAAGGAAGAAGCTCTGGCTGTCCAATAATACATTTAGAAAGTTTTGTGCTTACCCGGCGGGGATGCGACCCGGGGACAGAGAGATAGGGGGAGACCCGCCGGGGAAACAGGCCGACGACAGAGACTGATGGGGACGGGCCGACGACTGTGAGAGAAACTTCTCTGACCACCACTTTGCCAAGTCTAATAGTTTTAAAGAAACAATGAGGGAAAGTAAGTGGAGGCGACGTCTGCGAGGCGAGCCACAGAGAGAGAGAGAGAGAGAGCACTTCTCTGACCACCACTTTGTCAAGTCTAATAGTTTTAAAGAAATCGTGAGGGAAAGTAAGTGGAGGCGACGTCTGCGAGGCGAGCCACAGAGAGAGAGAGAGAGAGAGAGAGAGAGCCGGGACGATGTGTAAGCATCCATTTTCTTCTCTGCCAAAAAATTGTCCAGCTCTCCCGTTTGTCTTCTATCAAACCCTAGCCATCGATGTCAATCGAAACAAAAGAAATCCAATTTGGATTTTCGGCTACAATTTTGCCTACTACATAGAGTTTTGTTAGTAGAGACAATCCTTTTTCTGGGTAACTTTGACGTGATAAAAAAATGGAAAGATATGAGATATTGAAAGACATAGGTTCTGGGAACTTTGGTGTGGCTAAGCTTGTGAGAGATAATGGAAGTGGTGAGCTATATCCAGTCGAATACATCGAGAGAGGAAATAAGGTACAAAATGGTTTTTTTCCCCGTTTTCTTATTGTTGTTTGGATTAATTGGATTTACGATTTCTGCTTTAGATCTTAAAAATGAAGTCTTTGTTTGATGGATGGGTTCTTTGTATAGATTGATGAGCATGTGCAGAGGGAGACCATGAACCACAAGTCTTTGAATCACCCCAATATTATCAAATTGAAGGAGGTAACATATATATTTCTTTTTTAACGATTATGGAATATGATGCCTTTTCTGTTTGGGACTTCTTTCTTGCTTGTTTTCTTGAATCTGCAAGAATTGTGATGATGATTTTTAGGTTTGATATGAGCTAAGAAACAAAATCTTCCTTCCACTCAGGTCTAGGTATGAACAAAACTTAAAGAAAAGTGGCAAAAAATCTATTTTGGTACAACTGTTTTTCTTTCTTTATATATTTTATTGTGAGTAAAATAAGTTTTGATTTTCCTCCTGATTTCTGACTAATATTAAAGAAACAATTAGCTAATCCTACACATTTGAATATTCTACCTCTATAGGTGATAAGTCACAAATTACCATTAATTAATTATATGAATAGAGTAGTTTCCCGCTTTAACAGGTCTTGCTAACCTCGACTCATCTAGCCATAGTAATAGAATATGCATCAGGAGGTGAACTTTTCGCACGAATATGCAATGCTGGGAGATTTAGTGAAGATGAGGTATAATTATTTTTTTTTTTCACTTGCTTCATCAGTTGATCCATTATTTACCTTGTTATTCCCATTTACATATTTGCAATATATTTACTTTCTAATTGCGTGTTCGTTTCAGGCAAGGTTTTTCTTTCAACAGCTGATATCCGGAGTCAATTGCTATCATTCCATGGTAATCTGAGTGAAGAATTTCTGGTTTCATTTAATTTATTCATCATGCTGATTAAAATAAATTTGTATAATTAGATTTGCACTTTCTTTTATGTGGTAAAAATGCAGCAAATTTGCCACAGAGATCTAAAGCTCGAAAGCACGTTGCTGGATGGAAGCCCAACACCATGCCTCAAAATTTGCGACTTTGGTTACTCTAAGGTTGTTTTACTTAAAAACGCATTTTATAGGGAAGATGTAATTCTTGATGTTGTTTTACATATTTTTGTTTGAATTTATCCCGGTCATCGGTATTACATTCTCAACCGAAATCAATTGTGGGAACACCTACTTATATTGCACCGAAATTTTTATCGAGGAAACAGTTTGATGGCAAGGTAACAATTCATCGCTTCAGTATACTTTATAATTTTTTAGCAATCATCTAACACTTTTGTGTTCCTAAAAATTGCAGATGTTTGGTAATGAGGGTCACATTATACATGATGTTAGTAGGTGCATACCCATTTGAAGATCTTGACGACCCCAGAAATTTTTAGAAAACAATCAATGTAAGTTGTAACATTAAGGCTTGTGAGATGTCGAGTTAAGTTTAGTTCATGCACAACAAATTATTGATTTTTTTCCTTTTTATATATATATATATATATTTTTTCTGCAGAGAATAGTCAGGGTTCCCTATTCGATCCCGGATTAGTCCCTTTTAGATTACGGTTGTGCCATTGTTTGGCTATCTGTCTTTGGGCACTCTTTTTGCCTTCTTGTTTACCTTTTTGCCCCTGAATCTTTAGGCGCTCTTTTGGGCTTGTTTTGTGTTTACCTTTCTGCCCCAGGATTTTGGTTCTGTGCAAACTTTTCTCCTCGATTGTACGGTACTTTGACGTTGTTTGATTTGCAATTTCTTGGGTGTAATTTTTGTTGCTTTAATCGTTAATGTTTCTTTCCGTTTGTTTTCTGTTCTTGGTTTGGCGTGGCGCGTCCGTTCTTGTCGTCTTTTCTATCGGGTGTTCCTCGTGGTTCAGAGCATTTGCAGTTTTGGCCATGCCGGTGGTCGCGCGGAAATTTATTTCTTTTCTTTTGCCACTGGTAATTTTTGTGGTCTTCTTTCTTGCGGTTTTTGGCGGTGTATTGTTTGCCGTATTTCTGAGGTTTTGCGTCTTTTTATTTTTGGCACCGTATTGATGTGATCTGCGTGATTTTGGGAACCGGCTCTTCCTTTTGCGCACCTGCGACATGCTTGGCAGGTGTCCTTTTCTTAATTTAGGGGTTTATTTGTGGGCCCACTTTGTCCGTCCTTGGTTGGGTTTTTTTGTGTATTTGGGACTGCTCGGCTCAGTATTTAAGTAAAAACCTGTGATTTTGGTGTCATTTTCGTCTGTCTCTTGCTTGTTGCAAAAGTTGCTGCCTGGAACATGAGCTCTTTTTTCTCCATTTTTTTTTTTAATTTGTTTGATTTACATACCCCTCTTTCTTGTGATTGCAGAATACGTTGATCCTGAGAGCAATTCCAGGTCTAAACGAAATCGGAAAAGCTTTATAGGTGCTGTAAATAAATAGCAGCTTGTGTTAATACCTTAATTCCTTAAGATTTTACCTGTAAATATGAAAAATATCTACGTGTGTAAATTGTAATTTTTCTTGTGTACTGCTGATTGAAATTTAATTCAGGTCTGACAATGAATTGAGCTATGGACTAACTTTGGTTTAATGTTAATATGTTTTCTATTGTTTAAAATCTTGTTTTTTTTTTCATTTTTTTGCTTTTTATTTTTCTCAGGGTTCACTGCAAACATCAATCGTCAGGATAGGTCATGAAGAAGGCTTCCCAAGCTACGGAAGATGGCTTGAACAGACAATGGCCTATGAAACCACGACTTGCAGCAGTTGGATTTTGCTGCCTTATAGGGATTGTCTGTTGTGGGCCTTGTGGCCAATAAATCCCATCCAATGTCTGAATAGATCGAGTCGTGCTTGAATGATCCAACGTCAGAGATTCGAGCACGAAGGACGTTCCCAATTTAGGTGCTCCACTGCATGATATGGATTTGGAGGAGGATAAGTAATTTGGCACGCCACAGTGAAAATTTAGTAATTGACTTTGGTCTCATATATTACCTTGACTCCAATCTCTTAGAGACTGCACCTGTTCATCAAACATTTGTAAACTGAGAAGTATGATAGCGATATGTACAAGCAACTTCAAGCATTGTTTTGAGAGTACCCGCTGGATTTGTAATCAGAGTACCCGATAGTACCAGTGGGTACTCTCCATAATACCCGCTGCATTTGTAATCTATCAACTGCATGCCTTCAATATTTATTTCTTATTGGTCGAATTGGATAATTTACAAAACATGACAATGACAATCAAAAATAAAAGAAAAGTTCAAAACGAAAGTTTAAAATTAATAATAAACAAAATTCTATGGATTCGATAAATCAACTAAAAATTATTTACCAAATGAGATACATAATATAAAGGTACACATCACACACGGACAATCTTAAAGATAAAAAAATATATTCATTTGCTCTTTGTTTTGTCCTAAACTTTGTCCCCGTCGCTTACAAAACTAATTAGCCTTAAACAATACACGTAAGATATAGAATGTTTATCAATCAATACATAAAAGCGTAAACAAATAAATTCGACCACAATTAGTTTGGAAATACATGCGCACATATGCGGATTTAAACAACCACACAACTCATAAACCACTTGTGAAAGTCAAGAGAACAAAATCTTCAAACATTTCCATTAAATAAAAAATACATCTCAACAAATCCAACATACGCTAAAATAAAAGCTACAACAACTTAGGACAATTTTTTGTTGTACTTTTACGTGGGGTGTTAGACCGCCGTGCGTGCACGGCGTCACCAAATCTAGTATATATATATATATATATATATATATATACATACACTCTCATATGGATACAGTTGACTTAAGCATCGGAGGCCCAAAGCCGGGCACCCCTCCCGGGGTCCCCGACTTTGGGTTTTTGCAGGTACGGTGGCCGTCTGAGTCGAGGGAGCCCGAGTGACATCTTTGTCCTATCAGTATATTTCCTGGATAAGTATGATTGAAGCACCACAAGAAAGTCTTGAAGTTCTACTTCTCACTACCTTTCCAAATGGCTATGTGATCATTTTCTGCCTATTGATAAGGAATGCCTCAGCTGGCAAACTTTATTAATACAACTATTACACATCAAAAGTGACATGTATAATATAGAACATATATGTTAGAAGACATGCATCTATTTGAACATACCATGACCACTTTATAACTTTTGTTTGTTGTTATGTGTTTTATATTTAAATCACATTGATTGATGTCTGCGGCAGATACTGATGGACATGGACACGGAAGAATTCAAAACTGTTTTTGTTCTCGATTTAATTATAAGCTTAATAAGAGTTGTTTTGGTCTTCTGCTATGTCTATAAAAAATATGTGCATGACCGTAGACGTCGACGTACCATGTGTCGTAGGAGTCGTACATCTATGTATCGCATGGCTGACCGACTTAATAGTCAATTCGTCATTTGAATCAACTTATAGAAATGAGTGACACAAATTGTATCCAACAACTTTGCATGGATTGAGATGCCTTTGGTCGGTTATGTTTTTTGTTAGAAAATGTTGGTGGTCTCGTAACCACTAGAAATGTTCTAGTAAGTGAACAAGAAGCGATTTTCTTAAGAGTTTTGGCACACCATAGAAAAATAGAGTAATGGAATTTGATTTTAATCAGTCGGACCAAACATTAATGAAAGTATTCAACAATGTGCTTGATGCTGTGCTTCGGTTACATCTAATTCTGACGGTACGACCAACTCCAATCGATGAAGGTTGTACTGATCGAAGGTGGAAATGGTTTAAGGTGATAGTAATTGAATTTAATTATTCTTATAAAAATCTTTTAATTCTTATTAAGTTTTCCTATATCATGAAATATACATATTATGTAGGGATGCCTAGGTGCACTAGATGGAACGTACATACCTATTCATGTCCCATCACAACTTTACCCCCGTTACAGAAACCGTAAGAAGTTTATATCAATAAATATGCTTGGGTGTGTAACCATGACATGAATATTACTTACATTTTAACGGGTTGGGAGGGGTCAGCTGTTGATGGTCGAGTATTGAGAGATGCTGTTAATAGGCCAAATGGTTTGCGTTTCTCCATTGGTTAGTTCCACCTATTTCTTAGTTTTTTGTGTAATCGTAAAAAAAAATAGAATGTTGTAATATTAATTTTAGTTTCTTTTGTCATACTATCATCATGTAATTACTATCTATGTGACGGCGGTTATACCAACGGTCCAGAATTTTAGCTCCATATAGAGGAGTTCGATAGCACCTACAAGAGTATGGACCGGGTGATCGTGCCCGATCTAATCATAGAGAGAATTTTAACCTTAGGCACGCAAAAGCCCGAAATGTCATAGAAAGGACATTCGGTGTGTTAAAATGCGTTGGGCCATTCTTAGGAGTCCTAGTTTCTACTAAATACGTACTCAAAACTGGATAATACTTGCTTGTTTCCTTCTCCAAAACTTTATTCGCACGTTCATCTCGGTTGAACCATTAGAGGGATACATCAATGATGATTTTACTGACCCTGTGCAGACGAAGGGTGATGATCATGTACATCATGTCGATGTAGTACAACTAACTGAAGAGTGGACTATAGGAGAGAAAATTTAGCATTGTCGATGTATAATTCATGGTTGGCTGGAGATTACGTGGCATAAAATTCATTCATATTCGTTTGTAGGAACGTTTAAACCTATTTGTGTCAGTGTGATTACAACAATTGTTCGAACCATTTGGATTATCTTGAACCATTTTATTATTTTATGTGTGTTTCTCCTTAATAAAATTGTAAACGATGTGATTTGTATTATTATCTTCAAAACAAAATATGGTGTTTGGTGCTTCACGTATGGATTCTGAAGGTGCGATTGGCTGTAGAGATTCTAGCTCAATTAGTCTGAGGGTTTGGTCATTGGAGGAGGAAGCAACCTTAGTAAATGGGCTTAAATACCTTGTTACACGTGGTTGGAGTGCAATGGATTTCGGTCGGGATATGGTTGGTTACTAGAGCAACACATGAAACAAGTGTTTCCGGACAAAGACATCAAGGCCGAACCATATATTTCTTCTAATATAAAAGTCTAAAAGAAAAATTACGTGTCCTTGAGCGGCATGATGTCAAAGTCAGGTTTTGGTTTAACTGAAGTGGGGCGCTTGGAGTGAGGGATGATCAAGTATGGAAGGAATACTTAAAGGTGCGTATTTGGATATAATTTTTTATTTCTTTCCAATCTGTAATGTTCGATTTTTTTTATTTTTGTTAAAATTTATGAAGTTTACTTTTTTGTTGCATGTTTTTTCATCACTCTTAGGATAAAACCATGTTCGCTTGGAATAGATATTGAATAATATTTTCATTGCATCTAAGCAACTCGGTTAAGTATAATTTCGTCCATATAACTACTTGCTTGTGGAAGTGAAGTCAATATTCCAAAAGGATTTCATGATTTTGGAGTAAAACTGATTCATGAGTGGTGTCTTCTAGTAGAAAAAAATTTATGATATACCATCAACCAACCAGAGAAAGTACAATGATTAGATAATTTTTTTTATTTTTGTTCTATTTGTAGCATGTGCTTGATAATGTGCTTTGAAGGAAAATTATTAAGCTTCATTTGATCACTCATTTGAGTCCTGAATTTGTATTACTTGTATCTTTATAATGTGATATGAAATGATAGTTGACAAGTATTGAAAGCTCCTAGATTGTATTTTTAAACAAACATTTGTATCTTTATAATGTGATATGAAATGATAGTTGACAAGTAGTGCAAGCTCCTAGATTGTAATTTTAAACAAACAAGGGCTTAGGGTTAATATTCATTTTTCATCTTTTTATAGGGTACCTTTGATGATACAACAATTTTCTACAAATTAGTGATCTCTTTAGGTTACTCTGACCAGAT